GACTCATTAATAAAAATGAATAATCAAATCATCCTATTTGCCATTTTGCAACTTTCTTCTGAACGTGGCACATGTTATTGCCATAAAAATCGAAGGTGAAAGAAATTAGATGTGATGAAGAGTGGACTTCTGGTGAGCTCAATCTGGACACTAAATGTGATGGACCGGAGGTGAATGGGGTTGAGGGGGGACGATTTCACACACTGAAATGACATCTAAAAGCAGCAGAGAGGAGAACAGATTTATAGTTTGGTGGCAGCAACATGATTGGCTGGAGGGGATTGTGGCTAAGTCTGATTGGTTTAACTGAAAGAGTAAAGACCCATTGTCAGCTGATTAGAAAGAGAGTAAGAGCATTGTGAAGAAATTTGGCATATTAAAATGTCTCCCTGATTGAACTTCGGCTGAGCTTCTTTCCAACTCAATCAATTAAACTGAGGAAATTATGGGGTAAGAGAAGATAACTTACCAGCCTGGCATTACCTCTACAGAGAAAATATTAGACAACAGACCGAATTTATTGGAGTTGCCCACATATGCTGAATTTCATGTACAATATTTGAATCATTATCGTTAATTAACCGCACCGTTACCCACATTCATTATGCTGGATTTTAATAGTTGAATTTAATTATTTTACTTTGAGAATATACAAAAACAAAGTTAAAATCAATTGTATGTCATTTTGCATAGCCATTTTTTCCACTTCCGAAATGATAATTGTAAACATCAGTACTTTTGTAAATGTATGAAGTTGTTGGTATATCAACACATTTCACATCCCTGTCAACAGTGACTCATTCTAAAGAGACAGACAATGAATAAAAATGTTTTTTTTACTGTGAAAATAAACCAGGAAAATGTTGCACAACCATTGTTTCCACTTCCTAAATTGTAATAACACATCAGAACTTTTGTAAATGTTTGAATAAAAGGTTTTTGCTATATTTCACATCCCTGTCAATAGTGACTGATTTCAAAGTCCATAGAGACATTCAAATGAAGCTGCACACTACGTAAGATAAACATAACAGATACAATAGATGCAATATCAGAGATAGAGGCACTAATTTACATGGAAGTTAGAATTCAGCTTGAAGCTCCTCAAGGAAATTAATAAATTTCTTATTTTTTCCCAGTTTATGTCCAGTGTTCTCCATTTCTGCACATAACCCCTCAAACTGATCTTTGTTTTTCTCCATTACGTCCTTGATTTTCCCAGAAGTCCCTCCAGTTCCACAAAGACAGATGTTGTCTTTGCGACTGCTATCAGTGGGTCCAAGTGATTTAAAAATTCATTTGTGAACTCCTCCTTTCTGGAGATCTTCCTTTTGCTTTTCCTGCAAATATCTAATACTGAAGATGTTAATGCATACAACTGCAGGTAAAAGTGTTTCAGAGAATTTCAACTGTAAATGTGTTTGTGATGACCCATAATGGCTGTGGACTTGCAAATAAATGTGAGAATTTTCTTTAAGCTAAGGGAGGCTTGTTTGTATGTTTACTCCTTGAGGCAGACAACAATCCCATACAAAGTGTGCAAAAAGATATGATTCACACATATCTTATCTCAGCCCCACCTCAAAAAGTAAAAATCAGTTTAGGTGTATGTTATCAGTTAACAGTATTATCACCGCTTTTGCTGGCTGCCGCGCACTGTATTATTGTATTACACTGCAGATCACACACAAACACACAACATTTTTGAAATCTTTAGGAATGTACAGTTTAATTTCAGTCTGATCATGCAACTTTCTGACCCACACAGCCGATCTGCATTGTAATAAAGGGCTGGGCCAAAGCCAGTGTATCAACAGAGCTGATCTTCTGTCAACTCCCTCAGCTCTCCACCATGTTTTGCAGCACAAAGGCTATTCACACTGCTGGCCCAGATCGGATTATTTTGCTCATATGTGTCTCTACTCTAACTTTTTCTATTTGATATTGGTGTCAAATCTGTATCAAGTGTGTGGACATGCTATACTTGGGGCGGCAGTAGCTCAGTGCGTAGTGACTTGGCTTGGGAACCGGTTCAAATCCCACAGACCACAAAATATGGAGTGTGGACTGGTAGCTGGAGATGTGCCAGTTTCACCTCCTGTGCACTGCCCAGGTTGAGCAAGGCAACCTAACCATAAAACCTGCTCATGGCGCTGGTAACGTGGCAGCCCCATCTCTCCCCTTTGCATGTCCACATGTGCATGAAGTGTGCATTTCAGTGTGTGTGTGTGTATACAAAAAAAGAGTGAAAAGAA